TTCTGCTGAAACCTACCTCCTGCGCACGTCTCCGCGGGCGATGCATGGATGCGAGGCCACAGCTGGTGAAAATGTGGAACCGCACCCACTCCCGACACTGGTGTGTCCTCCTCCACCCCCCGCACCCGCGTCTGCCCGCCCTCCAGTACCCACTCTCCCATCCTCTCCCCCCCACACACACTTGTGCCCCTCCTGCACCCGCGCCTGCCCCCCGACCGGTACCCACTCTCCTAGTCCCTCCCCTCCCCCCACCGGTGCCCGCCACCTGGAGCTGCCGCGTGTCCACCCGCAGTCGTGTAAGCTGACCCACGACTGCCTCGTTGTCTCCCCGCCAGCACCAGGGTGCCAGAGAGGCTGTCTGTCCTCCTGACCTGGTGCCTGCATGTGTGTGCATGTGTGTAGTTGTGTTGAAAGAACCTTACCTGCTGCCTTCACCACATCTGCAGGCGTCACGTTCTGGACGTTGGCGCTCACTCTGAAGGTCACAGCTGGTCCCAGGACCCTGGGAGAGACCATTCGGAAAGGGTCAGTGCAGCTCAGCACACAGCGTCCTCTCTGAGTGCGGGACAGCACGACACGCCAGAGACACGCAGCCAGGACCACGGCTCCCCACACGTGACCTCACAGGCCCCTGAGTCCTATGCGTGGACCTAAGACCACCGCTCTCACGGGTGAGCGTGTTCTTGACACGCTTCCTCCTTTCCATTTTCCAGTGACAGGCTCTGCTTGTCTAAGCCACACGCGGTGCTTTTATAAAAAATTCAACCCACAGCCCAACCACAGACTTGCGAGGGGAAAGCTGTTATGGAAACAGATTTTAGTGTCTGGTTCCCAAGGGAGCAGAGTGCGTCAAAGGCAGAAAGGAGAGAGGAGTCTTTAAAAACCTCTCTGACAGCAACTGTTCAAAAACGTATCAAACATTAAGAAACATTCAGTATAAACATAACTGGCAGGGAATTGGCAGACAGGAATTATCCAAATTTTCCAAAGCTTTTAAACACTATATTGAACATGATTTTGAAAAGAACACATCACTTTTTAAAACAATCTGACTCCTGAAGCCGCATGTACTCTAGAAACACGGTACACATGCAGCCGTCTCCAGCCGGAGCGGGACTGCAGGGTCGGTCTCAACGGCAGGAAACCGTCCAGGCAGTGCTCCTCACAGCGCGACTCAGCACCTCTGCCCGGGAGCCCCCGGTGCTAACCGGGAAGGACCGACCCGCCAGGAGCCGCCCCTCCTATGCTCCTAAACTCCGCACGGTCCCCGCCCAAGCGTCCCTCTACGGCCAAATGTACCACGAAGTTCCTCCATTTGTTTCTTGAAAGATCAGCTAGAACGCCTAGAAGGGACCGCACTGAAAAGTTAGAAACGAACAAGAGTGGTGGGGAGGCGGGGAGGGGGAGGAGGAGGGAGGAGAGTGGGAAGAGGAGGGGACGCTGCCACGGTACCTGCAGGGCCCACAGTCTGGCACCTTCTAACCAGCCACCCCCCTGTTCATCTCCATTCTGCTAATTTCATTGTTTATGATAAAATCATTTTAAAAGGCATTAATAGTAAGAATGGTGCAAAGGGGTAATAAGAGCGAGAATCCACTGAATGATGAGAACACGCTCAAGAGACCCTACATAAAAATTAGAACTGCCTCAGAAATGCACACACCCTGAGTTCAGCATTCCCACAGGATGAGTCTGCCACCTCCCCACCCATCTCCTGCCTGCCTTCCCCCAGGCCACGCCTCCCCAGGCCACACCTTACCCAGGCCACGCTTCGCGCCTTCCTCCCTTACCCAGGCCACGCCTTACCCAGGCCACGCCTCCCCAGGCCATGCTTTACCCAGGCCACGCCTTCCCCCAGGCCGCGCCTTCCTCCCAGGCACCTGTCCAGGGATGAGCCCCTGCTGCCAGTGCTGTGACCTCACACCCCACCATCTCCTGAGCACCTCCGATTCCCTGTGGATTCAGTGTGTCACCTCCACTCATAGCTCTGGGTCTCGGCCTCACGTCCTGCTGCTCATGGGAGCTCCGCTCGGCCCGGCCACCAGCCCACTGTGTGCACCCCTTGAGTGGGGGGCAATGCGTCACCATCCCCACCACCCCATAGCAGCCTCGGTCATCTCCCGGTCAGCTTGACCCCCCTGAGTCAGCGCCTGCCGCTGTCCCCACAGCTCCGCTCAGGCCGACGGTGCAGCGTGTGGGCGGGTCCCTCTGCTTCTTTGTGCAGACAGTCCCCAAGTTCTGTGAGACCACGAAAATGCCAGCGGGGTTGCTGCCGGGGCGGTTCCAGCCCAGCTGTGTCCCAGCATACAGCCCTCCGTCCTGCTCTCCCGACTGGGGAGCCCAGAGGCACATCCCAGGATCCTCCGTGGCCTCCGTCCACCGTGCAGCCTGCGCTGCTCATGTCAGGTGACCGCCCTGTGGCCTCCACAGGCCCCCGTGTCTGAAGGGACCCAGCCATACCCAACCCTCCATCCTACCAAGCTCTACCACCGCTGGAGGTCGCTTCTGGTCTGGTGCAATGACACTTCCACCTGTCGCCCGCCATGTGTCCTCTCCTGGCGGTGACAACCCATTTCTGTCTTGCTCACTCAGTCAGCCTCCTCACAGCTCTTGACAACAGCGGCCTCTCCCAGAACTAGGCGCCTGAGGGGGCGTGCACATCCTGAGGGGCGTGTACATCCTGAGGGGCGTGTACATCCTGAGAGGACGTGTCCATCCTGAGGGGCGTGTACATCCTGAGGGGCGTGTACATCCTGAGAGGACGTGTCCATCCTGAGGGGCGTGTACATCCTGAGGGGCGTGTACATCCTGAGAGGACGTGTCCATCCTGAGGGGCGTGTACATCCTGAGGGGCGTGTACATCCTGAGAGGACGTGTCCATCCTGAGGGGCGTGTACATCCTGAGGGGCGTGTACATCCTGAGAGGACGTGTCCATCCTGAGGGGCGTGTACATCCTGAGGGGCGTGTACATCCTGAGAGGACGTGTCCATCCTGAGGGGCGTGTACATCCTGAGGGGCGTGTACATCCTGAGAGGACGTGTCCATCCTGAGGGGCGTGTACATCCTGAGGGGCGTGTACATCCTGAGAGGACGTGTCCATCCTGAGGGGCGTGTACATCCTGAGGGGCGTGTACATCCTGAGAGGACGTGTCCATCCTGAGGGGCGTGTACATCCTGAGGGGCGTGTACATCCTGAGAGGACGTGTCCATCCTGAGGGGCGTGTACATCCTGAGGGGCGTGTACATCCTGAGAGGACGTGTCCATCCTGAGGGGCGTGTACATCCTGAGGGGCGTGTACATCCTGAGAGGACGTGTCCATCCTGAGGGGCGTGTACATCCTGAGGGGCGTGTACATCCTGAGAGGACGTGTCCATCCTGAGGGGCGTGTACATCCTGAGGGGCGTGTACATCCTGAGAGGACGTGTCCATCCTGAGGGGCGTGTACATCCTGAGGGGCGTGTACATCCTGAGAGGACGTGTCCATCCTGAGGGGCGTGTACATCCTGAGGGGCGTGTACATCCTGAGAGGACGTGTCCATCCTGAGGGGCGTGTACATCCTGAGGGGCGTGTACATCCTGAGAGGACGTGTCCATCCTGAGGGGCGTGTACATCCTGAGGGGCGTGTACATCCTGAGGGGGCGTGTACATCCTGAGGATGGGCTCTGGGCAGCGCCTTCGCCCAGGGCTTCCTGCCCGGGCACAGCCAAGGCAGCATCTGCGAGTAAGGAGGACAGGGTCCCACCCAGCCCCGGGACCCCAGGGTGACCTGTGGTTCTCACAACTTCGCCTTCCCACTCCCTCCGCCTACAGCTTCCCCAGGGCCGAGCGCTCTCTGAGACACGCAGATGCCCACTCACTCACCTGCGATGGGCAGAGGCCTGCCATCCACCTGCCACCCCCCCATGGGGACCCGGCAGACAGATGGCACAACACCACGGCCTTCTCTCAGGGCACCCACATCACTGCCTTGCCACTCGGAGATGCATGTGGCCCCTGGGGCACCTGGTATAGGGGAAGCCCACCCTAGTGTCAGCTTGATCATCATTGAGCCTCTGTGACACCCGCACTGGGGGTGCTCCAGGTTTGGTCACATGCTTTTTCTTAGGTTCATGAGGGGCCAGCACACCTCACATCACTGATCACAGACAGCCTGGTTCCCAACCCCTGCTGCTCCTGCTTCCTCAGTGCAGTCTCTACACAGAGGTCCCAGCTGCCAGTCTGCACGAGGGTCACCTCTCAGGCCTCAGTTTACTCAGCTGTAAAATGGAGTGGTGTGTCCTGGCCCTGGAGTCTGGCTCTCCTGTGACAAGTCACTGTGTGACGCTGCCAATGTCAGGCAGAGCCCCAGGCAAGAGGAAGGGAGGGCAGGGTGCAGAGGCCACGAACCACATCCAAGTAAGGTCCCATGCATCCCCACCACAGGCTTCCTCTGGGAGGCGTCCCACGAGTAAGCACCCACGTGGACCACAGTCCCGAAGTGCCAGACACCCCCCCCACACACACACACACGAGGCTCAATCTGAATAACAGGTGAAGGGCTCCAGGGGTGACTCACCCACTGCAGGGAAGCCCCGAAAGGACCACGGCCTGGCCACCGGGCACCGGAGGGCAGCTCTCGCCCCGGTCACCGGGCACCGGAGGGCAGCTCTCGCCCTGGGCACTGTGGGATTGGCCTTCTTCCCCGTTCTTGTTTTGTGACCGGGGAGCTAATTCGACATGAAGTCTGCGTGTCATTTTATTGCGATACCCATGGGTGCTTCCGAGCTGCACTGAACCCAGTGGGGCCCCCTGGCCCATGCCAGGCCCCGACTCTGCATGCTACAGGCAGGGAACTGAGGCTTAGGAA